TCGACTCACCCTTTTATTTTTGGTCATCTCATCGAATATCTTCTCAATTTTCTCAATCTTTTCATCCGGCACCACTTTGGCTGGTGTGGTCGCCGGCGCAGGCGTTGGTGCTGTCGCTGGTGGTTTTTCGGGGTCTTTTTTCGCCGCCGCACCCTCTGGCACTGGTTTTGGCGGATATGCTATCGGTTTCGGTATAGGTGTGTCGCTTAATACAATATTTATCAAGCAATATTCCATTAATGCCATAAAGACAAACACTGTGCAAACGGACATGAATGCATCGACCGCCTTTAGATAGGAAACTGGCGGTAAAGATGCTTGTGACTTCGCATGTTGCGTGGATAATGTCAGCAGCGAAGTGACGCCGAGTGTAACGCGCGCCGGTGCTGCCTCCGGTTTGATCCAAAATGAGACCCAAGACATAATGACAATCATACAAGTCGGTATATAAGTATTGAAGACATAATAGACTAGACGGCGTTTCAGTGTGAAAACGACTTCGAGGCAGGTGAAGTTACCCGTCGAGTAAACTTGCGTGCAATCTATAAAAGTTGATGGCATACAAAAAAAATATTATTCCCATACAGTATGTTTGTGTGCTTACCCGCAGTTTGATTGTGTATCAGCGCCACCTGTGGCAATTCGATATTTTCATCAACCACTAGCGGCGTCGTAGGATCCCACTGAAAAATCATATCATCTGTGGTGTGCGATACTACATATTTGGAAATTTCAAATTAGTAGTGAAATGGAACTTTGTAAAATTTCATTAAATTTCGTCTAAAACTTACAACTTTCCATTTGTAGTTTACATTCTTGTGTGTCATGTGGATAAATGGCGAAATTCATGATGCATGACAATTTTAGGGTTAATTTCACCATATAAAGTATGGTTTTGTCTTTATATAACCACATGTAGTGATTAGGAATTGTCATTGTTTGGAAAGTAACTGATTTAGCATTTTTGAAGAATGAATCTGGTCGCCACATATTCTTCAACCAATCCACCTCGAGTAATCTATACTCCTGTGTCATGTTCTCGGGTAGTCGCAGTCGATGATCTTTCCATGTTTGTGCGAAAAAAACGTCCGCTACATATGTCATTGAATTCTCGTCGATCGAATCGAGACCCATTACAGTGACGTGAAAATAAACGATTGTTGGCTGTCCATCTTTTTTGGGAGGACGCATTTTGTCATAGCGTTTTATGTCTTCGGGTAAAATGTCTGTTATCGCTAAACTTTGTCTGTTGGGTGTGATAGAAATTAGTTTAGGTTACTTGATGAATAAAAAAAAAAATGTTAATTATGGAGGAAACTTACTGGTATTCGCCTGTTGTGAATTTCTCTAAACATATTGAGAATATAACCAGCAGGAAGATTTGGTATTCCATTACTGTTAAAAGAAAAAACAAAACAATTCTATAATATTTATATGCTTAAGGGAAATTAATTCATAAAAATGTGTTTATATAACCAATAAATATATAATACTAGTTTACTTTTACCCGTTTCACTGAATGTATGAAATATCTGCGTGTAACGTTAGGTGTAATTTATTTCAATAAACCTCATATGTACTTAAATGTTTCTTCGAAATTTTACCATTTTTAACTTACTTTTTTAACCAAAAAATGGTGTGCCAAAGTGGGGCTGAATGTAAACCCTGCAAAAACAACTATAGTACCATTCTCAAGGAAATACAAACTTGATAGTCTAAAAGCGATAAGGCTGGATGGAACCAACATCATGTACCAAAAAGAGGTTAAATTCCTAGGAGTAATACTAGACCAAAAACTACTCTGGAAAGCACACGTAGAAGAAACTGCGAAGAAAGCTGTAAGATCATTTATGACGTGTAGGTCCATGGCAGGAAAGAGTTGGGGCTGCACACCAAAGATAATGAGATGGATCTACACGACAATAGTACGACCCATGATAACCTATGGAGCCATCGTTTGGGCCGATAGAACTTCAAAACTTGGAGCAATCAAATTGCTCTCCAAGATACAAAGGCTGGTATGCGTATGCATAACGGGAGCCATGAGAACCTGTCCAACCGCATCCTTGGAGGTTCTTTTAGATCTTACCCCTCTTCATATTTACATACAGACTCAGGCGAAAAGAGCTTTAGTGCGGATGACTGGTACCAATATCGAGGCAGCAGGGTGTCTTGGTCGTGGAAAGTTAGATATTCTTACGAATAAGTTCCCTGAAATTGCAATACCGAGGGATACCAGGCATTCGAGGTTCAGCTTTACAAAGAGGTTTAAGACTGAACTGAGTAATAAGAAGAGCTGGGCAGGCATAACCGAGACATATCGGATAAACCAAAACATGATTACCTGGTACACTGATGGCTCATTGACCGACGAGGGTACCGGGGTAGGGGTAGTTGGACCGAGGATAAGATACTCGGAACCCATGGGGAAACATATGTCTATTTTCCAGGCTGAAACATACGCCATAGAAAGATGCGCGGACTTTAATATCAAGCGAATCTACCGGAATCAGAACATCGCGATCTTGACTGACAGCCAAGCGGCTATCAAGGCCCTCAGATCTCACCAGGTAACATCTAAACTGGTGATGGAGTGCCTCGACAAGCTGAATACTCTTGGTCTGACCAATCGGGTTTGGGTTCTTTGGATTCCGGGACATATTGGTATTAAAGGAAACAAGATTGCCGATAAACTAGCGAAGAAAGGTGCATCAACCCCTTTCACCGGTCCAGAACCTTTCTGCGGCCTGGGAAAAGGGGCACTCTCTAAACTAGTTCGGCTAGAGGAAGAAGCTCAGAGGAATCACTACTGGGATAATCTACCAGGTCCAGAGCAGGCCAAAGCACTTTTAGGAACATATAACCTAAAACGCTTCAAGGAATGTATGAGCTTATCAAAGAATAACTTAAGAATTGTTACAGGAATCCTGACAGGACACTGCAGGCTGAACTATCACCTGATTAAACTGGGAATTTACTCGCATGAGCGATGCAGATTTTGCAGGATGGAAAACGAGACTGCACAGCACATCTTAGAAGAATGTCCTGCACTGATGCATAAACGCAAAAGGCACCTGGGTGAACATCTGGTAACCAAAGGCGAAGTGAAATCCGTAGACTTAGGTTCTATACTAAAGTTTCTCTCGGATACTGGATTAATAGACACACGATAATCCATTAAAGGGGGTACAATAGATCTTAAGGTCGCAGAGCTCTATCCCCAACAATAATAATAATAATAACTTACTTTTTTTAAAGATCATTTAACTTAAATAATCAACTTTCGCATTGTTTAAAAAGTTGTTTTTTTTTCGTATGGAAGAAAATGACTGACATCGTCAAGAAATAAAATTGCTAAAAATCAACAGTATACCTTACCTATCTCAAAAGTGCAGTTACTTTACTAAAATGGGTTGGGCTACAAAACTGCATACTCAAATCATTCTCAGAAATCGAATTAAAAAGTCGGAAATTCTTACGAAAGTTTATCGATTTTTTAAATATTTCACGAAATTTTACTGGCTAAGAAATTCATATACCTGACCTAAGGTTTGTTCTAGAGTAATTAATTAAATTTTTTATTGAAGAATTTTTTCTATAGGTGGCTTTTCTCGTCTGGACATTTCAGTATTAAAGCTGTTTTAGTCCTCTTTCAATTGATACCAAACTTGTTTAATTTTTTGTTTTTATTTCAGCTTTAAAAAATATTTGGCCAAGTTTAACTTAAAAAAAAAATTAAATAATATAAGTAAATTAAGTAAAATGAAATGAAATGTAGATGGCATTATTAAATTTGAAAAAAATCTTAGCTAGTGACGGGTCGGACAATATTTTGTGACAAATGGATCGAGTCACTATTGAGCACACATAGTTCGTGAGTAAAATGAACACTACTGATTTGATATGAATATTTATTAAAAGGCCCTTATTTAAACAATTGATTGTTTTGTTGGTGTTGGAAAGCTAACGTATTTGTAAGTTATATTAAAAAAAACACATTTTTTGCTGTGAAGGGTAGAACGTCCAATAAGCATTTCATTTAACGCTGGCAACTTTTCCATAAACGTTGTTTTGTAATAACTAACTACTATTTGAAAGTCAATGAGTTTTACTTTTTTGTTGGAAAATTATTTTTTGCATTGTCACCTTCAATATACAGAAAAGCCTTGTTAAAAATAACTACTAAAAAATACTAAATAACATATACAAAATACTAAACAAAAAAATAGTACTTCTGATATAGTCGCATTACGGCTGTGTTTATAACCTTGGAGACAACCACAAGGCCATGTGCAACGCACGAAAAGTGAAAACCGCAGAACTGGAGCTGGCTGGTATAAATACTCTTTATAGATATATATTGTTATTAAAATCGTTTAATGTTTTATATTCCTAACTGGGACATTCGAATTTTAGAATGGGATAAACATGGCGTTATTCAGAGGAGAATGGGATTTTCGGAAATTTGGAGTTGCCAACACTGCCATGTACATGTATGGCATTGGTGTTGGTGTTACTTTGGCATTGATTTTTTCGCTTTATATTAAACTATTTTGAACTTTAAAAAATTGTCTGCCCATCAGCATCGAAATACCTTTCTAATGATAAACTATAATTATTTATACCTTAAAAGTACTAATACATAATTGCCTATTTATATACATATGCGATGTATAAATGTATGCGTTGACTTTAAATTTCTTTAAATGTTTAAATCGACGCAATGTTGGAGAAAAAGAAAATCCCACAGCACTTCACTTTTCGATCATAACAGAAACTTGATCTCTCGTACATATTCCCTTGTCCTTAAAAAACGCGCATGCTAATATGTATGTATATTATTATTTATATGTACATTCACACTTTGTCAAGGATAAATAATGAATGTGCGAAAACAACGTAACCTTCAAAATATGTACATAGCGGCCCATATCGATAGTAGGTAAATCAGCGCCAATAATTGAACAATCCCTTCGACTAGTGTCACTGACAATGACAATCAAAATGGCAGCGGAAACAACAAATATTTGACAAGCAGGTGAAATTCAAGAACAATATGGAATTACCTTCAAGAAGGCTGCGCCGTTCAATGGATCGTTCGACATATTTCCAGAAATAGCATCAAATATAGTGACGATGCACCCGTTTACCGAAGAAAATATGTATAAGCCGAAAGGTGCACAAATAAACAAATGTATGTATGTATGTGCACCAATATACATTTGAAAATGCCCCGAATGCATCATACACAAACACGCTTAAGAATGAATATTGTTCACAAAAAAGAAAAGAAGGAAACGAAAAAAAAAAACATGAAATGGCATCAAAAGCCGAGCGCGCGTAATTCCTTTACCGCCTCAGGCTGGCAGGAAGGCTGCGTGGTTTGAGTCTTGCACTAGACCTTCTTGCGCAGATGCGGCGGTCACAATAGCGACTTAAATCACAATTAAAACCACTCGACTGAAGGGGCCGCCATAAGTACCTGTGTGCGCTTTTATGGCACATTGCCACACATTCGGCGGAGAAATGGCGGTATAGAAGAGTACAACGTGACAACGCGACAACGTTATCTCGGAGGTCGACTTGAGTATGTGTTGGGGTCGTTGTCTAACGTCAACGATGCTAGCAACACCGATTAGGTATTTAAGAATAAAAAAAAAACATCAATAAAAGCGAATCGACATTCAGAAAACGTAAACGAACGGCAAGGGCATTAGGAAAGGCAAGTTATTGGGGAAATATGCACATTAAACGGGCCGATGGCGTATGAGTAACGTTTAAATCGTTTGTCGTGGCGTATACGGAACTTAGGGTTGAAAGCAGAACTCACTCATAACAAGGCAATTTTTTTTTCAGGTGGCTATTTAAATCGGATCTTAAATTATGTTCCTTTTTACAAGCTTTTATTTAACTTGCTCTGTATGTACTTATGTACGTATGTTTGTTAGGGGCAAATCTTGCAGTAAATTTTTGATCAAAGTCCCGTTGACCTAGAGAGTTGAAACTTCACAGTTGGCTCAGAACCCGATGACAATAGTTGTGTTTTTTTTACAAATTATCCAGCAACTGAGAATTCGCTCTTATAAAAAAATGTCCAAAAAAGTACGTGAACGCAAATATAGTAATAATTTGCAAGTTTCATGAACAGCTGATAAATTGGTTGTTTATTCACAGCAAATTCCTAATAAAAAATATATTTTATATATAAATAAATTTATTTTGTCAATTTAAACTATAAAAATCCCACAAATAGTTCCCCTTTTACTTCAAATTGTATCCAGCAATATGCGATCAGTTGTTTCTCATACTTGAAAATTGTTACAAGTAAAAATTTATACAGTAAAAATCCAACAACTTCAGCTGTCATTTTCGCTCTCTCAATTTCCCTACACT